TTCATTACTTGTGGTAAGAGTACTAAACTCAAGTTCAAATCTATCACTTATGAGTAGTAACTTTTCTGGGCCTATTGCTTCATTTGTAAAATGTAAGGGTTGTACTAACAGATTTCCAAGGCTCGTCCAGCCTTTCAGCCTATTAAGAGACACTATCAGAACTAATTTATGGTTCATTAGTTTTCTTGGAGTTCCCATTTTTTTCTTTTAGTCTCAAACTATTTCCTGAACCTTACAGCACAAAAGTGATCATACTTCAACTCTTTAAACACTTAACAGATACCGATAAATAATGTATAATGGAAAGTTCGCTTGTTAATTACATTAAATATAGTAACTTTATAGCACACATATCTGACTCTCCACATGCTTTTTCTTTTTATAAAACTTCCTTATTTCAAATTCTGAATTTACAGCTCTAGACACAACAAAGTATGTGTAAAATTTCCTTGGCTGATTTAATTCCAAAAGTCAAACCCAGGTGCATCTCCCCGATTCAGAGTTTAAAAAAACCGACCAAAATTATTATTTGATGACATTACTCCAAGAAGAGATAGGGTATGTTTCTTAATTTAAAGGACACACTCCATTTTGAAAGATCTAAACTCCTCACAATTCTGTGGCAGGTGGGGCTACAAACCCCATTTTACCGATGAAGGCGATGAAGTTCACATAGATTAAAACAACTTGCCCTACATTAAGAACCCTTCAATGGAACTGAAAAGCCAGACCTTCTAATGCAAAAGATTCACATTGTTTTTCACTGCTGTCATCACAAAGCAATACAGATATGCTGAGCCCGTGGATCCAGTGGTCACAGTATGGGGAAGGAAGAAATAAAGGCCTATAAACTGGAGGATCTGAATGCTCCACCTCTGGCGAGTAGGAGTGAGACAGACGGACTGGCTATCAGTCCCGGGTATTCCGGCACAGGCTGGTCACTCCATAGCCTGGGAGTCTAGCTTGCGGCCTCAGAAGACAGCGTAAGAGCGGAGGAGAGCGGTTTCAGCCCTACCTGGGACCCACGATGCGGCCTGACCTGTAAGACTCAATCCGGACCGACAAGGGACCCTTCTCTATGGGTCGAAGCGTACGCAGGCGGCACGAAGCGACCATAAAGAGTGGTCAGGGACAGAGAAGAGAGACCCACCTTACAAAAAGGAAGTCACTGCAGCCAATCTCGCTTCCAGGGTTCTTCTTGTCGGCTGCTCAGGATTGGCTCCTGCATGAGGGCAGGGCCTCGCCGCTACTTTCTCCGCCCCTTACTGCACTCGGCAGCCTATGAGAACCTAAGAGGACTTGATGGTTCTTACGTCATCAATGAGGACTCGCGAGAGAAATAGCTACTTTTCTCTCCCGCCTAATTCAGGTTTATGGCCAAGCGGATTCAATCTCAGGCCGTACTACGTGCATTTCTTCTCACGAAATTCGCTCCTTTTTCCCGGGTAAAAGACTGGCTTGTGTCCCGAGTGGTGGGACTTTGGCGCGTCCAGGTGGGGGATAATTTAGGAATCGTACCCGTCTCATCTTTGCAGGTTTCCGGGTGAGATCCAAAAATGGATTGCACTCTGGGGGGAGGGCGGGTATCGGGCCGGGTTCTACTGGGGTTCTGGAGGGCCCGGCGATTCGGACTTCAAAGAGCCGAGGCCGGTGGTGGGGGCATGCTGAGCCTTGGGAACCCCAAGGAACCCGAGACTCAGGACGTAGAGAAGTTGCTTCGCGGTGGCAGCCACTCCCCAAATTGCCTGCTGGCGCTTGCAAGGAGCCTCGGTGGCGCGGTGGTTAAGTGCTTGGCCGCTAACCGGAAGGTGGGCGGTTGGAATCCATCATCAGCTCTTAGAGAAATGCTTCCTTGAAAATTTACGGCCTTGGAAACCCTGTGGGGCAGTTCTACTCTGTCCTACAGGCTCGCTGTAAGTCGGAATCGACTCCACGGCAGTGGGTTTGGTTTGGTTTTTTCGCTGGTGCCTGCAGGTGTTTATCCGTGGACCACGTAGCGGATTCAACTGTTTGTTTACACTAACTTTAAACTTGGACCCTTCTCTTTCCACTGAGCTAGCTCATTACTTTCAAAAATCTTGTGTTGAGCAGAAAGTAGGGGGCTGCCTTCATGCTCCAGAGTAGCCTATGCATGCAACTTAAGAAAAATTTGTGCACATCCATAGTTGTTAGTGTGCTAAATCAGAAGCACGGTATGTGACCCTTCTTTGCCCGTTCATATAACAAACGTTTAATAAAAGATAGTTTCCCATAAGGGCATGGACAAGGAAAATATTAGATGAGTTTAAT